GAAATGCAAAGCTCAGGGAAGGATGTGCTAAAAGTAAACACGGTTCACCATCCTATTGTCTTAGTGGCAGGCGTTTGGGAACATGCAGCTTAACTTTATAACCTGTGCTCTGCTTTTTTAATTATTTTTTTTTTACTTGATTAGAAAGAAAACATCCGTTGCGGGAGCCAAGTAGGACTGCAGCAGAAGCTCTATTCACGAGTACTTTAATCCCTGCTTTCCTTTCACCACGTCAAAACGCCTGCTCTATTCTCTGGAAATGTTTGTGTTTGTACATGAGTACAGGCGGCTGTAGAATCGCTTAATGAGCAGACTTGTTAGATGGGGTTCATTTAGCTCTGGATAGTTTGGGTTGTGCAACTGGAATTGAACAAAACCTGCTTTTGTGCTGGGAAGTGTGGATGTGGATGACCTTTTTCTGGACCCAGGTTTTTTGGCTACAGGACATCTTCAGAAATAATCATGCTTCGTGAGTGGCTTCTGGAAGGTCGAGAGTATCTCTTATTTGCATTCTGCACTCTTACCCTTGTTCAAGCTCAGTACTGAAGTTTGCTGTTCAGTTTTCAGATGGTTGACATGCTCAGCTGCAGACCAGTGGGACTAACTGCCCATGGAGAGGTTGTGGCATTGGTGTAACTGATTACTTGGCTTATAGACAGGAAGACTTATTCCCTTTTTTGCAAGTCCACTGAGCAAACTGGTTCCGGATGTGGGAAATAAAATTGCCTTTTATATTCCAGTCAAGAGTCGTGGTGCTTGTGAGGAATGGAGAGGCACTGAATAACAACCTGTTTTGTCAGTGAAAACGAAATAAGGCTGCGAGGAGCAGCACTGAGAGGGCAGCAACACGTGTGGGAGTGGCTGGGCTGACACTGTCTGAGAACCATCAGTCTTGGGGTGGAGTAAATGTGTCCATGCTGGCATCAGATTTGATAGCCTGCAAGAACTTCCCATGTGGCTGCTGTTACTTGGACAGAGGATGTCTTCCTCTGTGTAGTAACGTATCGCCTCACTAAGGATAAAATTGGGTATTTAATGTGGGAATAAAAGAAATGAGCATAGGCTTGAGTCTTTGCTGCAGGATGTTGTTCTACTGGGTGTTGTGCCCTTGGGTTACCCACCCACTTGTCTACCTGGAAGGTAGTGTTACCTTTTATTTGATAGATCAGGCAATTGCCTGAGGCTCCTGCATGTGCTGGGTTGCGTGTAATTCCTGCAAATGAAAACATTGGCAGTTCTACCAAATAACAAAAGGAACCGAGGAGGGAGCCAGTAATAAAACTGTTCAGAATTGTGTTTAAAATCCATTCCTTACTAATCTTATATTAAACTCTACCATGAGACCTAGAAATATGTCACTTCTAATCTTTACCTCTTTTCTTCTTCCTTTCTAAAATTAATAGCTAAACCCATTTTTGCCACCTCTGGTCTTCACTGCCATGCTGTTCATTCCTGAGGGTTGTTTTGCTGCTCCCTGGAGTGTTGGCAGGGCTTTCTAGCTTCATATTGCATCAAGTTTCATTAGTATATGACCACTTTTTCTATTCCAGCATCATTTATGAAGTTATTAAGTAAAATTGGTGTAAAGGCCTGTCGTTGAGAAGGCGCAGCAGTAATCTCCTTTTCAGCCCAATGATTATCTTTTCAAACACAATTCATAATCTTTTCTTAATGAATTGTTTAGCCACCTTGGCTCTTGTGCTGATTGCCCATCTTAATTAAAAAAGTACCATATGGGAAACTATGTATTATAAGGTGCTAAAGAATGTGAGAGAGGGACCACGCTTCCTGATGAAGTTACAATTAAAAAAACCAATATATGCAATTTGTTCACAAATTCAGATAACTTTAAAACTGTAGTTATCATAATTACTGTAGTGGTAAAACGAGGGTGCTGCACACTGGCTGTGCGGATAGCTTTAGTGTGAAGGATCAGAACCTTGTATTCTAGACCTGTTCTCCATCCACTCTTGTGCTTCATCCTTCAGGATGTGTGTAACAGTAATTCAGTAACATGGCAGGTATTTTTCCACACTTTTACACTGTATTCTTTACTGTGCTCTTGGCTTTTTCCTCCTGATAGAGCACTGCTTTAAAATTTGACTTCTATTTTCCTGTGGTATTGCCAAGCTGCATTTCTTGTCCTCCCTTCCCTTCCCCTGTTCAGAGGCCGGGCGAATGGCAAGTCACAGCCACGCCGGGACTGAAGCCGTGGCGGGGGGGCCTCGAAAAGGAGCGCGGGAGCCAGCCGAGTGCCAACCTGCTCTCCAGCGATAGCGCTTTTGGTTGCGAAAGCCAAGAGGAACTGCAGAGTTCCCGGCATCCCGCGTGCCAAAAGCTATTTCTGCTCGTCATGTGTTTTGAGCGGCTGCGTGCGCTGAAAGCTGGAATTGTTCGGGACGGGCACAATTTCCAACCTGTGTGTTTAGGGGCTTGCAGGGTTAGCTGGGATGAGATTTCCTTTTCTACGTGAAACTTGTAAGGACGCTGGGAAGAATTTCTTTCGTATTTAGGCTGTAGGAGGGGGAGACTCCGGGAAAACGATCAATGTATGTTAAGTAATCCAGCTCATCTCTTGTGCTACTGACGTGATGGGTGCCTGGGCGGTTGCTAAGCTACTCCAGCTGCTCCAGCTCCTGGCAAAGGCACTTCGGCTCTAAAGGGAGATGCACGTAAAACGCAGGGACATGGGTTGTGCTTCACGTGCGTCCTCAATGCTTCTGAGTGTCGTTTCTCCCTCCTTTTTAGCGTAGAGGCGTTTTTCAGAATCTTTGCAAATAAAATCTTTCTTTTTGTAGAGGCTGGTAGTTCTTATGCATTTAAAAAAGAAAAAAAAAATCAACACAGCAAGTTGTTAATTCAGAGCTGGATCCTAGTGCTATATATCATTTATGTTTTGATCAAGGCAAAAATAGTTTGTGGAGGAGATGAAAAGGGAGATGACTGCAGGGCTTCTGAGTGTTGGCAAGAGAGTACATCAGCAGTTTTTGATGTAGCTCTAGAAGATAAGGGTCCTACATATGAAAAACAAACTGCTGGGTCCTTAGTATTTCCTCTTCTGAGTACGTATAACAAATAAATTGTGAAGCGTATAAAAATGTAGTTGCGTTTCGTAAGCATTGTGATTTAGTTTTTAAGGACCTCAGAAGGGGAACTTACAACTTCTCCCTCTTTCTTGGCCACTCTTCGTTCTATGCTGCAACTGAAGAGCAAATTAGATAACTGGGATATGGAACCATATCACAGATGAGGAATTTTTATTAGTCCTGCTTCTTTTACCCTGTATGCAGGTGTACAGGCAGAAGTTGCTTGGGGCACAAAAATGAAATCTTGATATGCTTCAAGTGAAAAACTGGAGGTTTTTTACATACTCATGCTCCATCCAAGTTGAATTTGAACTTTCTGAACCCCAGAAGGAAAATTCTGTAGAGCTGCTGAGTTACCTGAATGAGACAGCCAGTGGGTGCTGCTTTTGGCATTTCCTGCGTGGCTGTCTAATCCTTTAGTAGAAGCTCTGAAGAAGAATTTATTAAACAAATTGATCCCAAGCAAACAGAATTAATGAAGGCCAAAGTGGTCACTGTGGGTCACCTGTTGCACTTAAACAGGTTCATTCGAATGGAGGAAATAACTTTTTGAAAGTATGTGGGCGGTGACTGGAGAATTCATCATATTTTCTGATCAGTTAGATAAATGCTGTTAGAGGACCTACAGATGAAAGAAAGTATTTACTTTTATCTGACTTTCTTGGGGATCAAATTTTTACCAGAAATTAAAAATATTGCACTCAGCCCTTCGGGGTTGTTTTGCAGTTCTTGTCTAGACTAGAGACAGTGATTTAAACTGCTGCTTTGACACTACTGTGTGATGTATTTTTATTTCCATGTTTCACATTTCTTTACGTGTTAGGCCATGCTCTATAGCTGGTAAGTCCAGAAATCAGATTTGGTTTTTTCCTGAAGATCGCAAGGTAGCTTTTTGAAGAATGAGAGCATAGTGTGGCGTGTTCTTAACAAACCTTTATCAGACATGATTTTCAAGCCATTCAGGTCTTTCTGCTATAAATGCCCACTTGAAGACCACACAAGCTTGCAAATACTTGGACATGCTTTTAGGAAGGTAATTAACATCTTTCTGTGCTTAGGGGACATGAGTTTTGATGGTAATTATACACAGTTGATAGCATCAATTGAAAAAAAATAAATCTAATAACTGAGAAAGTCCACACGCTGAATTCTTCTGGAAAAGATTTCTTCAGGCTAGGGATGAAAGCATTGCTTAGCAAAGCTGTATCTGTTCCCTGGGCAAATGGAAGCCTTCAGCTTGAAAGAAACTGCAGTACTTGCATTAGAGAATGGAGCATTTTCAAGCCGTGTTAGTTCATAAAGGATGTTTTAAGTGATTTTCAAGAGGGGGGGAGGGAGAAAGGCAAAAGCCTTTCAGCTGGCCTATTAAAACAATTTTTGTTCTTAAAAGCAAAGAGTAATGAATATCTAGATGCAAAGATAAAGAGTATTTAAGCATCACTTTAAAAGGACAGTGTGATGCATAGGGCAGTACGAGTTTTATTGAATGGTTGAGTTCCTTGTACTTTGGAGAAGCTCAACAAATCTCTTAATGTGGGGCCAGAGTTTATGGGGAGGGGGGAAGATTTTCTATACATGCCTGTGGTGACACTATGAATTTGGGTTTTTTTCTTTAAGTCTTGCTTCTTAGGAATATCCTAAAGCAAGGAATTCTTGTTTTTCTCTAAAACAAACTCATTTCCTTAGACTTGCAAAAGAACATTTTAACTCTGCTGTTGAAATGTTTAGACCACTTCAGGTTCCAGTACCAGAAAAATAGGAAAATGAGAGTTTTCTCCTTTTTCTGTCTTCTTTTTTCCTTTCCTTATTGATTTTATGGATACGTAGATCGACAGTTTGGGTGCTCCGTTTATGCACTATGCTTTAAAGGAAGTAATTGTGGCACGCATTTTCCTGTATCCCTTGTTCTTCCAGGTGCTGAGGATGTTGTGATGGCATTTTCCAGGTCAGAGACAGAAGACAGAAGACAGTAACTCCGGGATACCTGAACACCACAGAACTGGAGAGGACAGCGAGATCCCTGAAGATAGAGGAGGATGGCTGAGCATTAATAAGTTCATTTGCCCACCCTAGTTGTTCCTTGGTATTCCTTCTCCTTTGTAATTTGGTTTCCCTTTGCCTCACCCTCAGAACGCGGCTCACTGCCATCTCTTCCTGTAAGTTGTTGCTACTCAGCTGGGCTGTGTTAATTAAGGACAAAGCTAAAGGTGTATTTCTGATTGGCTCAAAGGGACAGACTGTGATTGGCTAAAGGAAGACAATTTTTCAAACTTGACCAATGAAAACCTTTTATCTTGCGTTTTATTTTATATTTTAAAGAAAGTCTCTTGACATCCTGCTTCTAAAGAAGCTTTTCATGCTGTGGTGCTTATCTAGGTCAAACTTGTGAATTTGAAGAGGGCTTGATTTGGCTGCCTAGAACTGGAAGCAACTTGTGATTGGTTGACAATGCAAATGCTTTCCCTTCAGTTGGCTTGCAGGTATTTTGCTGACTCTGACATTTTCATTGCAGGAAGCTGATGTTTTGGTGCATTGGTTATTTCTTTATATTTACAGAAAACGACAAATGTGCTCCGCAATATTTATTACACCCACACTATACATGCTTGCTTTTGGGGGTTTGGTTTGTTCTTTTTGATTGGCTTCGAACTCATGGGTTTGATTTCTTCTTGGCTGCGGTGTTTCTGATGCAATCAGTTTTTCCATGCTCATCTGCTCTGTGGCCTCAAGCTCTTTGGGGAGCGTGTGTCGAAAGCGTATTTAGTTCAATAAGTCTACCTGTTTGAGCTGGAACACGGAGATCAGCAGCCGTGCTGGGCGACTCTGCGGGCTCCGCTGCGACCTCCTGGGAGCCCTGGCTGTTCAGGTGGCTTCTCTCTTTGCTTCTGACAGAGGAGCTGTAGATATTTTGCAGGAATTGCAAGAAGGAGATCTATGGCTGTGACATGAACTTGCCAAATTTGTATAGCAAATATGTGAACTTGTTTAAAATACTACATAGAGTTCCACTTTAACCCTTTAACTGCTGCGTAAGACTAGCTCTCACCTAAGGAAAAAAATAACGATTATTAACTTAAATCCAACTTGCACTGGGCTTTAATAAACATAAGTTTCTAGTCACTTGAAAAATTGTACGTGGCTCCTTGCAACTGTTTGGTGATACGGAAATTATTCGGATCCTAAGGTAATAGCATTTTCTTTATGCACTGTTCCAAAAGGCAGTAGCACCGCATGAATAGTGAGTGTACAGATGACACTCTCAGGTTTACTCTCTTAGTAGTTGCAGGGCCTTAAAACACAGACAAGCGCATTTACAAACTGAAAAACCTGCAGGGAAATTCCCCAAGAGCACTGACTGTTCCTAGCACTGCTGCCGAAAGCCTAGCGTTTCATTTTCATTCATGTGCGGGTCATTTTTACAATACTTCTAGGTTTTCCTGTGGGTTGCACTGACTTCGAGATGTTTCAAAATCTATTAAAGCAGAACTCCGTTCGCCTGTTCCTGGTTCCTTTCTTATGGTTGTTAATTGTGTGAAGTAACAATTCCAGAATCGGCCTATGACAACATGACCATTTTCATGGCAAGAAATTGCGGTGACAGGATGCTGTTATGCTCTCAACATGGGGAAAAAGGCTTGAGAGAAACCATGGAATGTATGGAAAAGGAAGAAAAAACTTGTGAGCACAAGGAGGGAAATTATCTTGAGCAAATAAATCCTGTGTAATGACAACTGTACATGTATTTATGAGAAGGATCCTTTTGATTCAGTTGATCAGTGAAGATCAGTGTGAAAGTAAATCTTTTACCCCTGCTTGTTGGGGCCAGATAAGAAATTTTGTTATTAGAATAAACCAGGAAATGAGCCCAAAAGATTCCTTAAATTTTGACGTGGTTGCCTAAGAGGCACTTTGACTTTGGTGCAAAGGGGGGCAGCCCTTAAAGGGTTAATTGAAGGGGATACGGGTGTTTCTGGCTGGAGTGAGCGGGCTGGGCTGGGGTGGCCTGTCATTGTCAAGCTAACTGCATCCTCCATATGTATCTACGGCATTTCTGAGCTGTTAAATCTTTTCAAGGAGAAAAGTGAAGTGTTTATGTGGTTTAATCTTTTCACTGAAAATGTAACTGTTGGGGCGGGGGGGAAATACAGTTTTTAATAGCTACCCTTGTTTCTTCTCGATTTATTATACTCTTAAACCGCCAAATGGAAAATCCTTGCTTCGCCTTTGTGGAAGAGTTGCGCGTAGACTCCAGACTTGGGAGCCTTGAGTAATGTTTTGAGAAGGATATATTGAGAAAAGGCCACGTTTTACATAACAACATGATTTGGGATTCGGAAGATGAAGGCTGGGTAGTCTCTTGGGTGTATTTGTGCTTGCTTTGTTACCTGTATGCTCTCCCCTTCCCCTCTGGGGATTTCTTTAAACCAGGGCAGGAAGATGTATTATAAAAGAATTCATATATAAATCTGTGAGAAAGTAGTGGAGAAGAGGGCTTTCCAATATTGCCCTTGAATTGTATTTCTAAGTATTTATCTTCTTGCTATGAAAACCAAATCCCTATTACAATTGTGGAGCCGGGATGAACTGGGAGGTGGAGAACCCTGCACAGCGTACTGCAGCAGGGTTAACTTGTTTGTAGTACTCACAACTTTCTCTTGGTTTTCCGTTGTGCTCTTGCCTTCTCAAACAAATCATTACTCATAAAAATAAGGAAGACAATGTTTTAGATGTCAGAGGTGAATATAGATCTAAACTGAAATACATTTGTAAATAAAGAAGGCTGTGTAGTTCAGCTACCAACCAAACCATACTTAAGGCATCTGGTAAGGGAGCATGAAAACTTTTGAGGCATCTTCCCCCAAAACACACACAGCCTTTGAGTGGTCTTTGCAGTACACCTTTAGATATTCAAAACGTGCTGATGTACTTCTCTTACCAAGCTTATCGTCTGCTGGCCCTAACACAGTGCGTTTTGCAGAGCCTGAGGAAAAGGTTTAGAGCCGAATCAGATGCTCCTGTCATCTCTCTGCAGACCGGAGCAATTGCTGTAATTGCCAGTAGGTCATTGTGTCTGTGAGCATTGCCCATCGTAAAGGAAAATGAGACTCCGCCGTTCACGTGAGCCTTTAGATTGATTCTCCCAGGTCCTAAAATAAACCCTGGAGTGACAGACCGTGTGAGCTGGTGGCACAGCCACACTCTGGAAGGAGCAATTGCCTGAAAGAAGCTGGACCACTAATAAAATGAAATAAGCTTTTCAAATTTTGTTCCTATTTAAGGTAAGTAGTTCTCAGTTGTATTCTCTTGGCTGTCCAGGGGCCTGTGTGAAAGTTTCTAAGGCTTTACCGTTAAATGTGTTTCAGTTCCATAAGGTCTATCATTCTAATTCACCAGCAGCCTAAATAGTTCTGGTGAAGGCTAAAGATTAAATGGCCCATGAAATTCAAGCCTCCTGCCACCTATAGAAGAGATCATCCTAAATAAGACTTCAGGGTCATATGTGGGATAAATTTCTGTAACTATGGAGAATCTGTTACAAGAATAGAGCAGTACCATGTCTTAAAGTTATCAAGTCTTTTATAATGCTGGAGAAGAAAAAAAAAAGAAAAAAAAAAAGAAAAAGGCCCGAAGTTGAAAGCTTTGAATCAAATATATATAATGTGTGTTAGAAATTATTGTATGGAAGACATACTGAGTGCCTGAAGGGAGTGTATGATTTGAAGAAAGATCAGTCCTTCAGCTTTCTTTTTGGTCTCTTGCCTCCCAAAGGACTGTGTGGCAGAGCTGGCTGCAAAAGCTGGCTGCAGGGCACGGGGACCAGCAGAAACCGCCAGTGCAGTAAGAGCCACTTCTGGAAGTTTAAGAAATCTTCAGTTGTGTTCAGTCTCTACAAAAGAAAGAATCTTTAGTGAGTAAACATCTTTTCCTCAGTTATCCATCAATAACAAAGCTTAGCTGTTAATAAAGAGCTTCTAAGGAGCTTTGTTAAAACTGCAGAATAGTTGTTTTAGGTGTCAGAGTAACAGGAACGCCGAAGTGTGGCGCGTTTGCTGCCTTGGTGGGGTATCTGCTGAACGTGGTTGATTTTTCGGTCAACTGCCAGCACCGTGGTGTCTACACAGAGCCTCAGCATCAGCCCGTTCCACGCTCAGATGAAACGGAACCTGTTTGTTGCTCGGTGCCGCAGTCCGAGCGAGGTGTGTGTGGTGTGCGGGGCAGATCCTTCCCTGTGCGTGGCATCATGTTTTGTTTCATTTCCTTTAGGTGCAATGTTTTCATCTGGTTTATATCCTGTCAGTTAGGCTGGGATTAGTTATTTCAATAAATTCAGGCAATTATGAATCACCTTGTACAAAACTAGCTTTTAAGAGTTGAAACGTGTCACATTTTAGTAATTGTGTGCCAGGCGTGGTGCTGATGGGCAGTTGCTGAACAGACCCCTTTCTTGCAGGTGTAGCGTGATCAGTTTGCTATAAGCACTTGGCGTCTTGCAGATTTTGTATCCTGGGTATCTGTGACTTCTCCAGAGCTGCAGTAAGTAGGTCACGGGATTGCTGTGGTGCTTCTTCCAAATCTGCCTTAGACTTGTCTTGTAAATAGCGCAAGTCGGTACAGACACTTTGCACTACGATTTCCCTTAAACCTCCTTGTTACTGATGCTTTCCACAGTTTTACAAATACTGAAGTGCTGTATAACAGGGAGGAGTGTTGTTATTACTTACTGAGGTAAGAGAGGCGCTTGGATCCGTTCCCTTTCAGGCTGTAGTAGGTTCCCATACAAAGACAGGAATCACCTAGTCTTGAGCTCTGCATTTTCTTTGCAGCTGATTTGCCCTAAGCAGAATTCCTGCAGTATGTTATAAACAGCCTAGCTAGTTTCCTTTGTAGCCTGAAGCACTTCAATTTCGGGGATTGTTTATTTTGGAAAAGAGAATTTTATTTTGTTTTGAAGCTTTATAACCTGCCCTGCTTACAAGCTGCCTCATGTACCAATGTGAAGTAGTTACCTGCACTGAGCTTTTTGCTGTCTTGACATTTTCCAAGTCGAATCTCTATGCTACTAATTGCTAAGCTGTGACCAGAGGCCCCTGAAGCTCAGAAAATAAACTTTCAGCCTTTGTTTAACAATTACAGTACTAACTGCAACCCAGATGTTGACTGATGGGTCTCTGCCAGAGATGCTTCTTGCTGCCCTTCCCTGCTGCGCTTACCGGTGCTGCAGTCCCTGCAGAGTCAGAAGATGATGCTGTGTGCACCCTCGGTGGCAGCAGCAGCTGGGACACTCCTGCTCTCCCCATGTGTTGTGTGTGTCAGTGCTACACCTGAGCTCTTTGGACACCCCCAGAGAAAAAGGCCCTTTACCCACTCTGTAACACAGGTGGTCAATAACTATTTTTTTCCCAGGGTTCTAAAATACTTCTGATTAACCGTATTACTTAAGTTGGTTGAGCTGAATCCTAGGGTTATGCCTGCATTCGGAGTTGAGAGTCTTAGAATATCAGGGACCCATTTAGCTAGATTTATGTTTGAATGGGTATTAAATAGTGTTCTTGGCGTAACTGTTACAGTCTTAGCCCCAAGCTAAGAGTTAGTTCCCTGTGTTTT